GAAAAGGGGAAAAGAACGTGTTGCCAGAAATGAATGATTCCAAAGAGAACAGATAAATGAACAGCAGTTCTCCAAATAAACATCATGAAGCCGTGTTTGTCTTTTTTAGTTTACTGGACGCTGCTATGATGTGAAGACTCACAGACAATTACAGAAAAGAAGAAGCCGAGGGGAAAAAGTGAAATCGTTTTTTACTGCTTACTTTTTGATTGTGATGATGTGTGTGTGTGTTAGAGAGAGAGTGAGAAAGGGAGTGAGATAGAGAGAGAGAAAGAGAGAGAGAGAGTGTGTGTGTGACACACAGAGCCAGGACATTGACTCGGTGCTGTGCATGCTAGCTACTCATAAAGGCAGCACCTGTCAGCTGGTGTTGTGGGACAGCCAAGGGCTTGTTTGCCTCTGTCTCTGCCTGTCTCTCTCTCCCTGTCTCTCCATCTTCTTCGTCTCTGTCTCTCTCTCTCTCAGGCTGTCTTGCTCTGTTCTTCCTCTTCCTCTCATCCCGCCTCTCTCTCTCTCACTCTCTCTGTCGCAGTCTCTTCTTCTACCAATGATCAAACGTTACATAGCATTTAAGTGTTTTTTTTTACCATCTCAAAAAAATTACATAATACATTTGAGTACACATTGGTCAAATACCAGGGCAATTATAAAGTTGAATATAATGCAATCATAGACCATAACCTGCTTTTAATGTCTTAATTCTTAGTTTAATAAAAAGAAAAACTCACTGCAGCTGATGCAGTGTATATATATATATATTATATTTCATACAAAAGTTTCCCTCATTTCTTTTTCCTACCTGACTCTTCCACTTCCTCCTTCCTCTTCTCTCTCCCTACTTTCTCTTTACCTCCAGCCTCACCCTCCTCCCAGACCTCTCCCCTCACCGTTCCCTCCTTCACCCTGTGGTGACGTCTCACCTCTCTGTGTCACCTCTCACCAACCATCACACCAGCATCTGTCAGACCTCTGTCTGTCTCTCCCTCCTTTTCTCCCTCCCTCTTTCGCTCCCCCTCTCATTCTCCTGCTGCACCTGTGAGTGAAAACAGCCTCCCCCAGTCTTCCTCCATCTTCCTGCTCATTACAGGCCCCAGGCAGCCACTCCATCACATAAAAAAGGCAGCAATAAGCTACAAGAGTACACCTGTGCTGGGTGTGAATGCCAAAGCCAGAATCAGTGACAGCCAATTCCAGGCCAAATAATGGAATCAGCGAACCTCAACTTCAGACAAATCAACATGACAGCTTTATCTCCAGCTCCCAATTTCGGGGCACGTTACAAACCTCATTATCAAATGAGAAAAGCAATCAGCAAAGAGAAAAATGTTGACGCCGCCACAATACCGCCTGCATGGGATTAACTTAGCAAAGCTCATTTACAGATGGAACAGGTGGACCAGAATGAGAAGTGTGTATTCATTAAATCAGCGAAGCCCTGCTATCTGTTGTTATTTGACGAGAGTGAAATTAATCCGTTTCATCAACAACCAGGCTGCGATAATTCAAACAAATTAATCTGATCAACAAGAAAAACAATAACACACTCAATCAACGCACGTATGTAGGTACATCACAGTCTGAAAACCTTTCAATTTAAATGATTGATTCTCAAACTATATTATCTGTACCAGTGGTGGCTATGGAGAAATCTAATTACCATGGGGATAAAATCCAAAAATGCCAAAACAAATGGCACCAGTTTTAAAACTAAGCACAGATTTACAATCCTACTCACCGAGACCAGGAGGGTTCTCAGGGCATGGCGGCAATGGCTTGGGAGAAGGCTTCTGATTGGTCTCCGGCTGCATGCTCAACACCAGCTGCTCACCTGCAGCCAGGTAGCTGGCTAATGTTGCATTTGGCCTGGAAAGGTTGTAATAGTAATAGTGGTGTCCACTCCCAGTCGCTCCACTGTTGTTATTCCTGGACCCATTACGTCCGTTGTTGAAGCGGCTGAAGAGGTCGAAGCGCTGCGAGTAAACGTCAAAGTACAGAATCATCATGATGAGAAAGTGGAGCAGGCACAGCAGCAAAACGCCTTTACAGATGCGCTCCAGAGTCCGGCCCAACATCAGTCGGGTCATGGCAGAGGAAAGCAACCGTCCTGCGACGGCCAGCCACGACAAGGCCAGTTATGGACATAAACTCATGCCAGTAGCTCAAGGTGACACAGTGATAAAAGAGTTTTCAAACAGCACTGTTGACGCCAGAATAAGGAAATTATCTCAGAACACCTGACACCGACTGGGGGAATAAACTACCTGACCTCCGCAGGGATCATGGGCTTATTGATAAGGACTGGTCGTCAGTACCTCAGCCCAACAGCTGTGATCACTTGGACACTTTGTCCTCGGTTACCACCATGAAGTATCTAAGTGTCCAGGCAGTTTTATTGGGGTATTTCCATTATAGCAGGTGATAAACGTATACGTTTGTTGTGTTGTGTCGTCTCCCAAACGTTCCAGTCTAGATAACGATGTCCCCTGGCAACAAATCAGCAGACTGCGTAGGTTCTCCACCCACTGTTGACCTTTGCAAGTTGTTGTCAACCATGGAAACTTCAGGCACCTGGGGAAAACTGGAAGACAAACAGGTAAAAATAAATGAGGATAAAGGAAGTGAAGTAGCAAAGGCTATTAATCTGGACATTTCAGTGTCAAAAGTTCATACAAACTGGACTGGATTAGGGATTAGGGATTTCTTCAGGTTTGAAGACTGACTCCTAGAAGACTCTTCATATTCAGCTGCAGCATTTTAGGACTGTTTCTTTGTGGTGACGCTCGACTGCCACACTACATTTACCAAGTAAGTTACCCATCACCACAAACAAACAAAACATTAACAGATGCAAACAAATAAGGAGCCTCGACTGAAGCTGCTCAGCCAATCCATTCAATTTTCCAGCCAAATGGTTTTAAAAGTATTTGTATTGTACGCTAAATTAGGATGACATCAGAGAATACACACTGCATTCACCATAGGAGCAGCAGGGAAGAACGAGAACGTACTCCAGCAGCATTTAAATAAGTACAAACAGTCTGATGAACAGAGAAGCTCATCTGTTTCTTCAACTGAAAAGTTGAAATGTCCACGTACGTCTAAACCTCGTCAAATGTCGACCATGTTTATGTGCCATTCCTGACAATAAATGTTTATGTAGGTTAGTTACACATTTGTTGATGCTAACTCTATAAGTCCTGCAACTGGGGGTGTACTTAACTGTTGACTTTAAATAAATATGTACATATACAGACATATACAAATATATAGACAGATAAAAATACCCATATATATATATATTTATATATATGTGGGTATTTTTATCTGGAAATGTGGTTGATTTTTAAACATCAAAAAAATCCATTGATTTTTTTTTTATTTCTTGAAAAGAAAATACATTGCTTTCAGTATTCTTCTCGACATCACAAGAACCTCAATAGTTGAGGAAATACATCATATCACTGTCTGCACCTTCAGGTTCAAATCCATCTCAGCTGACAGGTGGAAAACATGTGAAATCTGATAAAAGTCTTAGAAGTGGTGTTGAGTTACTGCGGCTCCAGCCGGGGAATGCTGGAGGAACGGCACAGTCACGGCAAATCTTATTAAGGGTAAACACTCAATCCTGCCTCAGTGCTTGGGTTATTAAGCTTCCACACTGTGTTCTGAAACAGGTAGACACTACCTGAGATGACTAGAAATTTAAACATATGACATATATGTTACCGATCATTGTCTACCGATCTAACTATTTTATTTGTTGACATCTGGCTCCACATTTCTTAAAACAATTTACACCATCAAGCTTCTTTTTGGTACTAAAGATCAGCCGACCGAAGGCAGACAATAACCCAGAGCACAACAGGGCTGCTTATTTCATCTAGTCAACAATGCCAAAGATTTAATAATGAGTCGGAGCAGATAACAGACTTCAGAGGACGCAGGTCGGGGAAAGACCGAGGACAGGAAATACGACCAGAGGGACACAGTAAATACAGCCTTTATCTTTCAGTTTACTCAACAACTCCTGCTTTTTTACCCAGATCTGACCATGTCTGCCAAGGATACCAGAGAGACATGTCATAAAAAGATGTGATGTGGAAAATCCTGTAACTGCCTGTTTCCTCCGTCTCCTTTAGGTTTCAAGGCTGGTTCTCAGTCAACAGACCAAAGATGGTTTGACTAATTTTATTGAATTTTCCACCTGTTCCAAAATAGAGCAGATTACATGTAAAAAATATATAATGCTCACTAAAACAAATTCAATGTTGATTTATTGTAATTTGTCGTTACGCATCCAAAAACATCACAGCTGCTTTGAAATGCTTATCTTTTTTTTTTTCAACAGAAAACTCATTTTCCGTGGGTGATTAGGAATTCAATGCTGTTTAAGACTTTTCTAGGATCCGCGTGAGACCTGCTTTCGGCTAATCTTTCCAGTTGAGACTGAGTTTTTATGTCTTAAAGTAGCTCCATCTGTGCCAACTGGATACCTGAGATATGCAGCGCGTCAGAGCTGTACAGCGGGGGTGGGCCAAAACAGACAGGCTGGGTTAGAACGAGATGTGACTGCTGCGAGTTTCAGTGTCTGATCTTTCCAGCGTGTCGCTGCCGAACCTCAGTGCGTTCGAGACTGATTCCATTTCCTCTTCAGGAAATCTAGAGTCACTTTTGTTATCTGAACAGAAACAACAAAACATGACGATTAGATCGGAATCAGGAACAAGTAATGCTTAACAACTTCATTTACACAAATGCTGATTTTTTTTAAAGTCACATCCTGAAGATGAACCTTCCACTTGCAGGTCTGCAACATCTGTATCTTAAAATTTTAATTGGTTACCAGACGGGCTACCAGACTGGTAATTTGTGGCAGTACATAATTTATCAGGTCAAGGCCAAACATATGTCAGAAGCGGAGATCAGCCGATAGCGATGTGTAAAATGTAAGAGGGCAGTTCACAGAATGACATCCTTATTTAATGATGACGGTCAATTCTTGTTCAACGAGGAAAGAAACTGTTGAACATTTCTCCAAATCTGCACACAGAAAATAAATCTATTTATTCTCTGCTTGGATTCAAAGTCCACTGTCTGTTCCTCACAGACTTTTATTGTAAAGTGTGGATTTATTTTTATAAAGGTAATAAAAATGTTGCCACATCAATAAAATTCAAGCAGAAGTTCTACAAAAATTTAAATGGGCCTCATTTTTTTTACACCGCATTTCACTGTGATTGGACTTGAAAAACGTGAAAATAAATAAATAAAATAAATAAATCTGCAGCAAAAAAATAATTTCTTACGAGACGTAGACAATCATCAGTCTGTTTCTGTTTTTTTTCTTTCTGGTTTTACAGATAAACTGCTGCCCCTCCTTCACTCTTCCCTCAGGCCTCTTGTGATTAAGCCCCCCATGCCCCAGCCAGCCCTTCCCAGTCTTATCAAAAATGTATTTGACACATATTATTATATGGAGCCTCGGAGCGCTGTATTGGCTCTAGCACATCTCACCAGAGGCAGGTTCATTACCCACAAACCAACTGGTGCCCAGAAGGACAGACTCATGTTATATCTTAGCCTTCAGCTGAAATACTGTCAGTGTCTAAACTTTAAAGAGCAAAGGGGGCTTCTTGACCTTTTCTTTGACCTCAGTGGACAACAACAGAGTGGTTTGTTTATTCTAGAATCTATAAGTCTGGTTATCCCCAGGGTGAACTTTTAGTGTGACATAAGAAAGAATGTATGCCACAGAAAAAGAGATTAGTCAGAAAAGAAAACACAACACAAACTTGGTCTAAAGGTCAGGGGTCATGTCATAAAGAATCAGTAAATAAATGAATGAATGAACTGTATACTTCTAATGCTGTTTAGTTGTGATCACTGGTGAACATGTAGCTGTTTACACATCTCTAATGCTAAAAGTATTTTCATTTGTGTACCTGCTGATACCAATGTAGTACTTTTAAGGTTGGGTCTCAGTAAATATGCATTGAACTGAATCTCTGTGTTATATGTTTGGTACAAATGATAACTTTCTGCACAGCTGACACAGCCAGCAGAACAGACAGTGAGCAGAGCTTTAACGCTAACAGTGCTTTTCAATGTAAAACACTGTCTTCTGCCTTGCAGTTAATTAAGTGTCACTTAAACTGAGGAGCACTGTTGACATCAGATGATCCGATAACCTGGGGCAAAACTGTGAACCATGTGATTGAGGCCCAATATCTTTCCTGGACGCCAAAAAGAGACTGAAAATAATCTCACTTCTATTTTCTGCATTTAAGATTTCCTGTGAGTGTAGCATTCAGATGGACGACCTGCCACTGATATTGTTTCTTTTCTCCATTTAAATTTGAACTAGAAAGAAAAGCAGAAATCCCTGTCTGGCACTGAGACAAAGAGATGAACTGAAAAGGGAGAATTGAAAGAAATCAGTGGGGGAGAAAGAGAGAGGGACAGGGAGAGAGAGACTCAGAGAGAAAGGGAGAGAGAAAGAGAGAGGGAGAGTCGTACTGACCTTTAGATGAGTCACCGAGACACAGTGTCTTCTTACTTTACAGAACTGTTGCAGCTAGTTCAGAATTACTTTTCCATAACCTTTTAATAACTTATTTGACAAAAGTGTTGTTTAACGTCTCCAAATTTCAACTATTTTACCTTTAACTAAAAGCTATCCTCCACACTTTCTGGCTTCATGTGTTCTATAATTTAGCTCCTTCAGATCAAACTGAAGGGACAGAAAGAAGACAACTGACGCCACGGCGTGGAAAGACACCGGACACTGGAGAAGTACTATCACAGTGAGTGAGATGCTGGATTATGACGAGGTACTTTCTAGAACACCCTGAGCTCCTCAGCTGCTCTACAGTTGCAACAAAAGCCCATGTGAAGCTGAGATCCATACTGTGGGAACATTAGCATCATTATTATCATCACCATCTCTCCCTCTCACTGATGTCTGGTTTCACCGTCTCTCCTCCCTCCCTCTCTCTATCTCTCTCTCTCTACTTTAGCGGCTCTTGGCAGTGGAGCAAAGCAGTAAATGAAGTGCTTCATGGAAGGGAAGCCTCACGGGGGTGAAGGATTGTGGGTAGGTGGAGTGAAAAGAGGATTTGGTGGGAGGTTTTAAAGACTGTTTATTCAAATGACTGCCTTCATTTTTTCGACTCTGGGATATGAGGCTCGAGGTCACTATGGTCTTTGTTGTGGTGCTTTCTTTGGTTGTCAATTATATTTTCTGTGTAGTTATAGAGCATTAAGAAAATGGTTTGGACTCAACGGTTTATTTACAAACCATTACGAGCATTTTCTTTTGTGTACTCGCCTGTACAGACTATTGTACTATACCTCTTCAGGTTGGGTTTCAATAAATGCACTAGACTTGAAGGCTGTGTTATATACAGTATTACACGGGGATACATGGCAGGAAAATACTATTAAGTATAAAACAATTCCATCTAATCCTACTAGTACAAACTATCTGGCGCTCTTATCTGGTTATCTGGGGCACATTTGAAGTCTGGTTGGAACAAAATGCCAACTGAGCCAAGTCAACAACAGGTCAAAACACTTCTCATGAACACAACTCACGCCTAACAGGTGTCCTTTTCCAAAATTTCTCCCTCAGTTTCTCAAGGATGGCCAGGGCAGTTCCCATGACGACGAATACCAACATGACAGAGTGATCACAAGAATTAAGATTAGCTGCTGCTGCTACTGGTTCTGTCTGGACGTGCCAAAGGAAGAAGGTGCGTGGCGAGTGAATCTGTGGAAACCAGAGCTCTTTGCCATAACACAAGAGGCTTAACATCCATTCACAGTTGTTAAACTGAAAAACAATGTCTGACAAATACATATATATGTGTACAGGTATATGTATCATATACAGGACCAAACCACATACAGAGACAATGCTCTAAAATGTGTTTTGAAGTATGCAGTGTTTAAATATATTAACCCCAGTGCAGACAATGTTACCTGGGGAGGACGAGCAGCCCACTAGACCATGTTATTTATAAAACCCCAGAGTGAGTAACGTCTGTCTCCTGAGAAGCGACAATAAAGTTACTTCCAGTTCAGCACTGTGTCAGTGTCATTAACATAAATGTCAGGAACATAAATCATGGTCCTGACTGAAGTGAAACAGAGAGAAGACTCATCTGTCATGCACTGCTGACAGAGGAGGAAGCTTCAACACTGAGCCACAGCCCTACACTGTGTCGATGTACTGGTGCAGTGGTCTCCAACCTTTTGTTTTCTCAGAGCTACTTTTACAAAATAAAAATGGCAGAGATTTACTCATGTTGTGGAATTTATTTTCATAGCTCGATTTAAAACAAACAAACTTAATTAGCTTTTTCCCCATAATTATTATTATCATCTCTATTTATAATAATAATAATAAGAAGAACTTGGCCGGAACTAGTTATTGGTGGAGCTAAAACCAAAACAATTGACCGCATTTCTTATTAAAATCTTATCATAAAATGTGTCACTCCGCTATCCTACTCTTGTGGAACATGAACAAAATAGATATCTTTACATAGTAGAAAACCAAATTCAAAAATGAAAATAATTATGAATAATGATAATACTGATTCTAAAACAGTTTATATCTCAACCTTTAATAATTTCCCTACTCTTTAATATCCGTTAGCTAAGTTGAATGCTGCGTTTATAGCTTTTATGACGATTGCCAAACACTTGCAGTGCAGTCGGTTGTGCTATCTGTGGCCAGTAGACGGCGACAGTTTGCAGAAAATAAAATTAAGAAATAAAAACAGCTTATTTGTTCAACATTAGAAAATGCACAAGAGACAACTATTAAAACTGCATTTCTTCATTTAGAACACTAACTCTCTTTCCACTAGATCAAGGACCACTACATCAAGTCACAAATGAATGATCAAAATAATAAAATGAGTAAACTGTAACACCTTTGATTAATTTTTGATACTTTCCTTTGCTCTCACATTGTTTTTCCACACAAATGAACCCCCAAAATGACACATAATATGCACCCATGTATAAAATGTGCTTTTCTCTGTGAATTATAGCTTCTTTCTCCTGCTGTACATCCATACAAACACTCGACCAGTGTAAAATGTCCTCACATGCCATCTTGTAATAATTCATACATTGTCATTCTGACCATGTAGCAACAAGCAGCAAAGGCCTAATCCTAAAAAAGAGACACTGATTCAAGTAAAAACAACAATAACAAAAAGAAAACTCTTGTGGTACACTTTACTCAACAAGCGGCCATCTTTGTTTTGTACTCAGCATCCTCTGAGCTGCAGGGGCAAGTCACAGACATAAGGACTTCAGAGGGCAGTTCTTCTGAAAATCTTGAGAAAGAACAGCAAAACAGCGAAATATGTTTCTCTGAGTTACAGCCATTCATCAACTTTGTGTGCACTATCATTGCTTTTACAACCTCAATTCTGTTATGTCACAATCTGCACAAATCAGGAGGAGAAACTGAGATGCTCTGAATACTGAGGTGTATTTGCAGACAGGTACATTCAGGTAATCTTCTAGAAGCCCAGTAAAAAGATTAGACAGAACATCTTTTGTATGTTAATGCAGTCTCTTTATTCATCAAAGTAATGCACACTCTTTAAATGGACATCCTACCTCCCCCCTCCTCCCCCAGACAGATGAAGGAAGCAACAGAACAACAGCTTCACTGAGTCTGATGTAAAAATGATGTAGCCGAAGACTGAGCGGTTTAAAAACTCAACTTTACAAGTGGAATAAGTGCCTGGACTGAATAAATTCAGACTGACTGCTGACTGAAGCACAGATTGCTTTCAGATGAGTTCTTTGTTAAGTGGCTGAAATATTCTGTTTTTTTTTTTCTTTTCTCGTCAACATTCTGCCACTGAGGTGAGAGCAAAGAAATAATTTTCTGTCTGGCGGCGTCAGTCCTGATAACATATCAATACCTCACGAACATCAAATGTCACCTGGGTTCAACTGCTCCTTAAATAACAAGTCAAATATAATACTTTCCCTGACAGTACCCACAAAAACAAACACAAACTGCTCTGTCTCTTCTTTGCACATTTTTACTCTTTCAGCCACGAACCTCTGAGGCATGTGGCTGCACATCACTTACTCCAGTTGTGCCAGAGATTTTCTCTCTCTCTCTCTCTCTTTATGCCAAGTGTCTGAATTTGGTGTCAACCGTTGGGTTACTCTTCCTCCCTGTAACAAACATTGGCAGCGTGACCTAACAGGGCTGCATTCAGCCTGTGACTATGCTTTATCATATCATTGTGCTGTCAGGAATTCTAGTATGTTTTTGTAAACAACCCTTGTGGCAAAATCCAATTGAGTTGAACCTGAAATGCAAATACTTTTTTTTTCTTTACTTTAGATGACGATCTAATATGTTGACAATGTCTGTGATTGTTTTCCATTCTGTTTTGTCTTTTTTTGTCTCTGATTTATAAAAAAGAAATAACAGAAACATCATGTGGTTTAAAAAAAACCCCACTTTCCTTTGGCATTTTGTAAAGAAAATATTTCCCTATTTCTCATCAGTTGAAGGTCACCACTGGCTGACTTCCATGTTTGACATTAGCATAAAAAGACTTTATCTTGTCTGAAGCACGTAACGGTCTAATAGTTCAATACAGCCTCAGTGTATAAACAGCAGTGATGCTACTGTCTTTGGACAAAAACCACTGCTGATGCTGGCATTTGCACTTTAGCTGGTAAAAGTTCAGATGTTCAGGCTTCACTAATCTGTGAACTCTGACTTATCCTTCTTACTGGAAAAAACATTTAAACTTGATTTTAATACCTGAACCTGTCGGTGAAGGACAAATTCAGGTATTTCTCTGCTCCTGTTAAAACTTGTACAGAAGATGTTGCAGGAATTATTTGTAAATGTTTACCTGTGTAACTGATAGGACGACACTCCTCTGTAAAAACGATTTAGTGTTTACTTAATGTATCAGATTCTATAGCAGTAGATAGGGTTTTGCAGCAGTACGTAGACCTGCTGCATCACTTGCCTTCTTCTTATACGTCATTTGGCACCAATCATAGATTTGCAAATGAAATAATGAATATTATGTAATCGTTTGTTTTGTTTTGAATCCATCATAAGTCAAACTGATTCCAGACTATGAGTACCTAATTCCTGGAGACATTCAGTGAAGAGTGGGTGAGACATGGCATCATCTGGACACAGATGTGGTCAAGTCCAGGGTGGACTCTGCACTAATGCCCAGTGGCTGCAGGGTCCCTTCAGCAGTGTGGCTGCTGCTGCTGCTGCTGCTGCTGCTGGTCCATTTACTGTGGAGCAGTGCGAGGACCCACTATGGCGTTTGTACCAGTGCTGCTAGTTGACCACAATGTGCATGATAACAAAAGCACAGCATGTAGTTCTGTTAACATTTCATCATTTACACCATATTTTTAAACAAAATGCACCGAATATCAGGATAGATGAGTGCAAAGAGCCGAGGTAAGGAAGAAAAGCGTGGATGTGAGGTGGAATCAAACAATGCATCTCAGAGCAGTAGCCTGTGCCTACCTTGATGTTGTGAGGCGGACACTTCTATCTCTGCATCTCTTCTGCTGGAGCACCAGTAAATGTATCCACACCCACCGACACAGGGGAACTTAAAATGCCGTTGCAGGATTCTGCTGCCCGACAAATGTTTAAAAATAATGAAGAAAAACACTCGAAGCTAAAGGCTCGGTGCAGCCCGACTCTACACAAGAGAACTATATTCTCATTTTTCCACAGACAGACTATTGTGTCTGATCTACATCGACTGTATAAGCATAATCCTGCGCCAGGCATGAGATACAATGACGATGCTACTGGAAACGCAAAGCAGAGGGATGCAACCTGCAGGATTTGCCATCATCTCGTTGTGTTTTTGGTGAGGATTATGAGGAAAAGCTGAGAGCAAAAGGGATGCTCTCAGCATCAGCTGCGAGCAGGTCCTTTCACTCCTGCTGCCTACGGAAGCCCGAATGGTCCACAAACTCGTTTGCTGGATACTCGTGTCTCTGGAGACGCGAAAACCACAATATGATAAAAACGACAACAACAACAACAACAACGATTAGAACACCATATTTGGTTTTATTTTTTATTTACGGAACTCCATTCATTATAAAATTTGAGTTTGCACTGTGTAGTATTGAGCTATTTATCAATTTATTGGTTAAGAAGGAGATGATATCGAATTTAATATACTCTAATTATACCGATGATTTTAGTGGAATGAACACTCAGACTGTGTAAACACTAAAAATCAGCCAAAATACTATATTATACTGTATTCATTTGCTCTTGGAATAAAAAATACAGACATCCTCATTCTGGGATTTCAACGGGGAATTAAATTGATTATTATTAATAATATCAATAATTTAAAAACATCTTGTAATATTCTACCACCTGAATTTAACAAGTAGTCAAAAAAGTTTAATATTGTAATGAACCAATTGTGAATATTAATTTTTAAATGTTTATTAGAAATATCTTGAAATACCATAACACTATGTATCCAGGCTCAATTCTAGAAGTGGGTAAATCATAAATACACACCTTTCAAAATGTATTCTTCAATAACAACTGCTTGTGTGGTCGATTTTATTAATATATATTTACATAAAAATAAAAAAATGCTTAAATCTGTTGACACTTGAATTAGGGACAAATCCTGCGTGAAGTCCTTTTAAAACGTATTTTGTGGTTTTTGGCGCCGTCGTGTGGTGTTCAGGCAGCGCTGCAGGATAACTTATCAACTTTGTTGTGGCGTTGTCAGCATCTTTTTGGCTTATAAAAATCCTCTTTCACAAGTTTAAAACTAGTTTTGACTAAAAGCCAACTTGTAGACATATTAAGGTCGTTATTTGAGGCCATATTTTTATTTGTATTAAAAACTAAACATAAATCAAGGCAAACACAGACAGCAATCTCAACTGGAACATTTTAATATTTTTTCAAGTACATTTATGAACCTGGGAGAAAGATTTGTTTTTTATTTTACACATTGTCAAAAACAATATTTTCTGTTCACAACCACATCAAGATAAACACACAGTTCAGTACAGAGCCCAGTGTGTCAGATGTATCACAGATGTCACGTCTACAGATATTCCTACATCTTTTCCATTTTTTCCACATTCAATTCAAGGTCAATACTCTTTCAGGATTCACAAAGTTCAAAGAAAATAAACCTGACAATGTGGGATGAATAGCTGTGGTCTGTTGTCTCTTTTTATAGTCACAAGAAGACTGAATATTTCAGTATTCTCCATCTGTGTCAGAAAATCACGACATATCACCATTTATGAGATCAATATTAAGTAAACATCGATGGGGTAGAGTAGGAAACAGTGGAATGTTGAACTCAATGAATAATTTGCTGTAATACACCAGGAGCCTGATGTTGGTGATTCTAAGTGCACTCAGAACACATGATACAATCCTCTGGAATGTTGGCAGATGTGGGAAAACGAACATTAAACATTTGACAAAGATAAGATGTTTAAATTTGTGAAGCTGGTTTCATACTGGAACATTTTGAAAATAGCAGTTAGTGTCGTGTTACTACAATATATGTTTCTTCCTCATTACCATATACATTTGAGAAAATGTATAGAGTACAGTAAAGGAGCAGAAAAGCACAGCTTCACACTCTGCTCCATCTTGACTGCCTGACAGCATTATGACTATTTTATAAGATGGTACTTTAAGGCTGTTAGCTACAATCACTTTTCTTGTTTATCCTTAAAGATGCAGCTAAAAGGACAGGATGTTAAATTTGGAAATCAAACCAGGGGGAAAAAAAAATCAGACCAGCTTTGTTGAAGCTATGTTTTTTGGATGTGAATAAAGTATCTGCCTTCATAGAGTTAACAAGAGAAGAACATCTTTAGACCAGGCCCGTCACTGAGATCTGTCCATGAATCCAGATCTGAGCCCTTGGACGTGTTAGGGACTCTTACAGTAGAATGTCTGATAAATACTGTATTTGGAAGAAGGGACCACAACAGACGTAAAATAAAAGTCTACAAACACAACAGTAATCAACCTCATGCTTCACAGGAAAGGAAAAAACAAAAATCACATCCAGTGTACACACACACACACACACACACGCACGCACACACAAATATGTTTGTTTTCAAATATTCTCATGTATTTTGAACTGACTGTTTATTCAAGAGTGGTCTGACAAGTCCATGACATCCAAAGAAACTTGTCCACAGTTGACCGCCCACAGACCTGGTTGTTAAAACCTTGCAACTCTGTTTGTTTGTATTTACAGGTCAAACACACACTCTTGGATAAACAAAGGTTAAAAATACACCAGCTAAATAGAGACATTTAAATAATTTACGATGTATATACAGAATAATCTGTCTGCCCTCCAGCCTGGTCTTCGTTCTCGGAGCGTGAAGGCCGGTTAGTCTCCCATTTTTACTTTCGATGTCTGTGGGAGAAGAGGAAATGTCGTTAGGGCCTTTTAAATGCAGACACAGCAGAATGGCTCTGCAGGAAGCTCGTGTATTTCTAGGAATTTCAGAAAACATTTACTCTGACACACCGTGACCAGATTTAGACTTGAAGAAGCAGCAGCAGCACAGCCAGTGTCACTTACCTGCAGAATGGCTACAATAACTCCAAACAGGCCGATAGCACTGCCAAAGATTTCCACGATGAGAATCTTGACGAAGAGGCTGGCGTTCTGGGCATCGGCCAGAGCTGCTCCGCTGCCCACGATGCCCACACAGATGCCACAGAAGAGATTGGAGAAGCCGACAGTTAGACCGGCCCCAAACATGGAGTATCCTGGTGGGAGGAAAACGTAACTTAAGTAAATTAAATGTTTAAACCAAATGAAAGACTCTAGCGTTCTTTAACCTCCTCACCTGCTTGGTAGTTCTTGGCTCCGATGGTCTCAGGGGTCGTCCCACTGAAGTTCTGTAGGAGAGAGCGTTGTTTATTTTTTATAAATACTAGATGCATGATAACACAGTGATGCTTAAAAAAGAGAAGTGAAAGTCTCACCTCAGCCATGTTGCTGATGACAATGGCCATGATGATCCCATAGATGGCAACAGCTTCACAGAAGATGATGCTACAACGAGACAAGACTAAATGAACACTTGATCTAATGTGAGGGTGACACAGGGCACAGCGACTGTCATTATAATTATTTATTATGATAAATCACTGCACTACAAGGTGCTGGGTTGTTACCTGCAAAGCTATGAAGTTTTTTCTTCGATGGCTTACCTGACCAAATTCTTGGTTTTGATTCGTGGAGCCTTCACACCTCCACCAATGATACTGGAGCCAGTGATGTAAATACCCCTATGGAGCAGATGTACATGCTTAGCATCAGAGACATCACTAACTTATATTAAAGAAAGAAATATCAAGAGTAAGCAAGAGGTGTTGTTAGATATGTTTTCATCAAATACACATCTAAATAGATGTAGAATAAAAAGATCAAAGTTAATAATGTCAGCTTTGATTCTACAGGGCACAGTACCAGCTGTAAATGTAGTTTTTCCATTCATTTTTTGAATAATTCAGACTTATTTTCATTCATAACTCAGTAGGATAACTGGGGCACAACATTTTATTATGAAAAATATTTTACAATTTTAAATGTTTCCGTGTAAAGTTTGTGTCCATCTGGAGTCAAAACAGAAAATAACAAACATAAAATATTAAAACTATTTTAATATAAAATTAAAGCAACTATTGAATCTGGAATTAATTTAAATGACACAGATTGTGATAAAAAAAAAACATCTGTATGACTAATTTTGTTTCCCATTTCCATTTATATTTATACTGCTCTCACAAAGTGCTTTTGTCAATGAGGAAGTAGTTGAACACCAGTATGAATGTAATCATCTTTGTCACACACTGAAACTACGAGACTGGAGTTCTGACTTTCGACACATTTCCTGGTTTTAGACTCACCAGGCAGCTCCCACTACAGACAGAGAGATCGCCAGGCCAATCCCCAGATTAGCCCACATGAAAGGGGAGGTCTCTGTGAGGAACCTGTGAGAAAATCAGTGAAGTTGATGAAGACGTGCAAGTTTTTCTAGGAACAAAATGCATTACTGTAAAATATTAATTTGCCAAAGCCTAATTACTACATTTTAAAAATATGCTACATTGAATAATTTTCTATTAACAAAAATAATTTTCACTAAAGAGTGAGACTTTGCCAAAACTACTATACCAAAACTACTTACCATGCCACATCAAAGCGGAAGCCAAGGTCAAATATAGTGTAACAGAGGCCTGCAAAAAAACAATTAAAATCAAATCCATGTAAGAATAAGGAGACATTGTCATTATGTACATTACTTTGAAAGGTTTTTTTACTGTTAAGATTTAGCACAAACAATTGATGTTTGGAGTTCTTATTCTGCAGTGCACAACTTAACGATGTAAAGAGATACATGTACTATATTATTTTAGTGAACAATGCCTTAATTAGTCACAACAAAGTGCAAAAGTCAAGCAGAAAAGTTGCAGCCTTAGGGAAATGTCTCACTATCACGTGAAAGCTGCAGCAGTTCCCATTTCTGAACGGCTGTCAGCTAAGAGGCAACTAAGCTAACGTTAGCACGAGAAGATTATTATTCTTAAAACTAACAAAAGAAATGGTTTAACCAGAGCATGTGCAGCACAAAAACAGAATGCTTATATTGTTTGTCTCTAGTTATTAAAGAACAGTGCGATTCGATAGCATGCTCTGACATTTTGTTTTGACGCGTTAGCAAAGAGCTAAGCTGCGTTGATGCTAACAGGCAGAAGCTCGGTGCAGAGCTGCCAAGTGATAACATACGTTAACGAAACGGTAATTTTGATAGAAAATTAACCACATTTTTCAGGTTTATAAGTAGTTGTCATGACAATTCAATTTTGTTTTGCACCCCGTTAGCGATACATGCTAACACATTAACCTCTGTAACAGATGGTTGCAAATGAAACAGAAACGTCCCTGTGCCATAATTTGAACACTTCCGTCATTAAGGAAACACATAAACACGCTTTGCAGTGTGGAGGACACTATAAATACAAGACAGTAAACAGACTATCGTTGTCATTCAATATTTTCTACATACTGAATCAATTTCTTGTTAAAATATGATCTTACCGACGATGAGTATGGTGCTCCAGAAGGCCAAAGTGACCCCCGTGTAAAGAATGGCGTGTCCGTTCATCATCCACTCCAACAACATCTATCCGGTGACAGAACCGTCTGGATGATAGAGGTGTATCTATCTCAAACTGAGAATACCACGCCAATTAGATCAACGATAGTTAATTTATAATATTTTAATGGAGAACCGCCATCTATCTGCCGACAGACGACTAGCATCAAAAGCAGAAGCAGTGAGCTGTCAGCTGATCTAGCATGTGACCAGAAACCGGGGGGCTGCGTTCGGTTACGTCAACCTTCAATAAAACATAATGGATAATGTGCTCTTCCATTGTTTTTTTTTTTAAATTTAATTTTGTTTTATTTTATTAACCCAAATTTTATTTTTCTTTGATTAAAAAAAGTATTCTGCGCCAAAGGAGTATCATAAACTTACATTTTATAACATCGATGTTCGAGGATCTATGTTTTCTTTTCGTTACTCTTTTAATTCTAAGGTAATATTCCTTTAGTTATATATATATATATATAAAAAACAAAATTGATAATCGCTACAAATATATAAAATATTCAATTCATTTAGTCTTGTCTGGCCTATAGTGCAAGTTGTGGCCACTAGATGTCTCTGGCGAGCTGTAGTGAAATATATGTTAAAGGAACGACATTAAATCGTGTTAACTACAGTTTGTGTGTCATCTTAGATAATGTGATTTTATTCATTCATTATTCTAGATTCTTTAAATTTTTACTGGAAATGGCCCCATTAAAAATCTTAAAAAATTAATCCATCAATAGATAAAATTAACTCAATTTTTAAAAAAAATCTCAGATCCTCTATTTGAGGTCTTCAACTGAAATAAGCTACATTTTGTTTTAATTCTTCATATGGTTGTTCGTCTGCCCTCTGTGGACTGCAGGCGGACTGGAAATCAGGATCCTTGATTAAGACACAGCCCACAGAGAGAGAAAAAACCAACATGTTTGTTCACACTTATGCAAACTGTGAATTTTTTTCTGCCAAAGCAGAAGCTGTTTGTGTCACATTTTTTCTTTTCACTTCCTTTCTGATGAAGAAAAGCACATTTAAAATTGAGCAATCATCAGTGATTAATGATGAAAAGAGTCATCTAGGCTGTGGAAAAGAATGGAAGGAAGAATACTCCAGACATGGTCATCTCCAGCCATCAGTAAAGAACAAGTTAACTTGACAGTGAAATTATAATAATACGGAGGTAGTTTTTTCCTGTTACTCCAGTTTTCTCCCTAATGCCAAAAGCAGATTAGGTAATTTTTACTTCAAATTGACCAGAGGTGTGAATAGGAGTGTGAATGGTTTGTCTCTAGTTCATAGTTTTTGTATAATACTTTTATATTTTGTAATGTCTATTGATGCACACAGTGTTCTGTGAAGTTTAGCTTTACAAAAAAAACTGACTTAACCTGATTTGTTGAAATTGGACAAATGTTTGTTGGCAAACATGCAGACTGGGAGACACATGACGAAGACACAAACGAACAACACACAAACCAATCTGTTCATCATCAGACTCCCTGCTGCCTGTAGAGGTAGAATATATAGATCAGTTGTCTGCCTGACTCCATCTGTCTCAGACATTTCATTTAACTTAAAAAAAAGAGAGAGACTTCGTTGAAGGAATGCTGCCAGCAAAATAAAACGAATGCAATTTTTAAAAATAATATTCAATAGTCATTGATTTTTCTATGTTTTTTCCTTCACTACATGCACACAACAGATCACAAAAAATCTAGTTATGGATTAACCTTCACCTGGCTTTGACCATTAATAAATCACCCAGCCTTGTTTTCTGTCAGTGCTGCAACGTTTCACGTTCATTAATTATACTCTGTCCACTCCAGTCCGCTGCAGAACTCTACGGTGCCACCTCACAACCCACCACTTGTTTATGAGTAAGCACTTATCCTTTGATCCTCACAGGTGAATGGGAATCAATCCACCTGACACGGACAAAGATGTGCTTTTTAAGGACATCTGAATTCAAACACTGTCTCTGCTCAGGTCAACAAGGGACATACTGTGTGTTTTGTTCCTCCCTTTTCTCTCCATTAATTCAACTAATGTTATTTACTAACCTTGATGTTCTCCTCATCTGTTCCGTCCATTAGGATTTCTGTTTATGTCCTCGCTCCTCTCTGCCCAGCGTTCTGAGGTTGGTTTGACCTCTGTGTCACTCATTCTTTTTTCTCAGTAAATTCGCACTTCACATAGCCCACATTGTACATAGCAACATTTTTGTACTCCTTCTACCAAGGTTATGTTGCCTGTTTGTACCGAGCCAAACAGATTGTGTTTTTGTGAACAACCTTGTTTGTTTGCCCTGGAACCAAGAAAGAAAATAATTTAATTTTTCTGGCTAGCTTCTTTATAATTATGTCAACTGTCCCTTCTTTGTCATGAATTTCCTACTGGCCAACCCGTGGATCCCTGCAGGGGGCCCCCATGTGTGTTTACTTGAGCAAATCGGTTGAAAAACTGAAGAAGGAAGAAAAACCAATTGTGTGGACCGCATACTGTTTCATGTAGTTAACTCACTGGGTTTATAAGACAGAGTGGAGTCTCGTCACCACGGAAACTTCTTGTTATTATCTGATAGCTATTCTATAGAGCTGATGTATCTGAGGACCAGGCCAAACTAGACCAGGCCAATGATGTATCTGAGGACCAGGCCAAACTACGGCAGTTTCAGTTGCAGCATATTTCCGTCCAAATTCCAAACTCTTATTGAAAAACCTTTCAGAGATGAACATCCTCTTACAACCATTCAGTGACCTTTTGTAACAGTGGTTGTTATTTATTCAGAACATGTCAGTGAAGGTAAGACTCCACACACACACAGAATGATTCAGTAACAAATGTTTTGTATTCTTGACAACACAGATATTTCCTCTTTGTATTGAAGGACCAACCTCTGGCCTCTGGCATACAAGAATCTCTACCTGTGACTGTAAATGCCTCACAAACCATTAGATAAAAACTGAAAATTACCATTTTGTTGCCGACCTCATAAACACCTCATGCTAATGCAGAAACACACTTCTTTATTGTTCTTAATGATTGTGGCTCATACAAGACATGTTTCCTTTTCCTTAATGGCTTGGCCTTTTACTAACCAAAACAAGATTCTCTCTACATACATACATATATATATATATATATATATTCGTATTTTGCTGAATTTATGTATCTGCATGCCCCTAAACCTGTCTGGATATAATTAATACAAATGTTGTTTGAAAAAGGAAATGTACAATGTTCCAGAATAATGCATAGGCACGGCTCTCGCTGTTACATAATATTATATAAAATGTTGGAGAATATTGTATGAATATGTTTTATGTTTCCTTTAAAACAAGTGTTTTCTTTACTCTGTTTGACCCAAACATAGATTCTTAAGGCATTGGTAACTTTCTGATTCTCTTAGTCACATCCTATTTACATATTTTTCTTGATTTGTCAAACATTTATACTAAAGATGACTATAGTGGCTGCAGAAAACAATGTTTTTGCATTTCTTAGACAGAAGAATTGATGGATGGATGGATGGATGGATGGAGGGATGGATAACTCACACACTTTTACCAAATCAAACACTGTACAGTATGTTATTATAATTATAATTTGTTCCCTAATTTAATCACGTCTCACTGCTCCTGGCATAACAAATATCCTCTCCTCCACTAGACAAATTAACTTTAAAAGAACACAGAGTCTTGGTAGCAATGAGAAGAAAATGTTTTCTTATCAGTTTGCTAAACAACTGTGTTGGTAGCAATGAGAAGAAAATGTTTTCAGTTTGCTAAACAACTGTACCTTCTTACTTGAGCTACTGTTGTAATAGGATAAAGATAGAGTAGTTGGGATTACGGTTCGGGATTAAGGTTCGGGATGGGGACAGAGTATTTGGGATTAGGGTTAGGGATCGGGATAGAGTAGGATTGGAACAAAATTCACCAAAAAGTAGAAAAAACATTTTCCTTTAGAGAGAGTCATTTAATAAACATAGGCATCAAAGCCCTAACCTCCCACTGATCAATTTTCCCACATCAACTAATTAAAGCCTTCTACTTTTGGTTCTCCCTCCATTTGCCCTTACAACACCTAAAAACCTCAAATCAGTCAAAGCCCAATTTGCCTGTCATTATTATTACACAACCCCATTAACAGCCTGCTAAGACATTCATGATGGAGAACTGAAGAAGAATATGTTTTAACTATAATAGCCCAAAATGAGAAATGACTTCAATGTTAATTGTCTGCCCCTCCTTTTGCCCAGCACTAACTGCACGTGTCAGTAAGGGTTGCTTACACTCTGAGCTTCCACTGGTTGATGAGGAACACTGCTGAGCTGGTGATGGTCAAAACAGCCTTCTCCTAAAGAAGTCAAATCTCCATTCCAAAAGTGATTGTCAAGACTTTTCACGGTAAAGTGAAATGTTGGGATCAATCAGTTGAGGAGTCACGGATGAGGACTGGAGAGCCTTCAAATGATGGCATTTTACTCTTTTTATGATAGCATGGATCTAACATAACAGTAACATGATGTTTTCAGAGATATATTCATGCTAAGAGGACTAAGACAGCGTGTGTTGAACAAATGATGGTTATTTTTGTACTAAATCTCTGTCCTGCTCACATAATCGTTCACATATTGATTCACACCTGTTAGCCTGATCAAACTAACATCAGACATCAGATGACCTACTAAAAACAGCCACTCAATATGTCATCTGTTGTCTTATCTGATGTCCATGTTGCAGCGTGATAGCAGATCCACCGTGCCCTTCCCCAAAACATTTTATAATGACATTATTTATTTGATAAAAAACATTTACCCTAAAACCACTGGAGTCTCAACTTACAGTAAAGAATCTTGTATTAGCCTTTAAAGCTACTACTCCATATAAATCTGTATGTTCTACGTGTGGGTAGACTAGTGCTTACTTATAATGCACGTCACACGTCTTGGTCTTTCTTTTCTCACTCGTTTTACCCACCTTTGCCGTAACATGATCTGATATACAATATTCATAGAGCATCGCGCTTTCATATAAGGACCTTGGGCACCATATTCCTCAGAAACAGTCCTTTGGGGGTTTTTAGTGAAAGGTCATCACCAAAGCTCAAACCCCACATGAGAGACTACACGAACTCGGCATCGTAAAATTCCCCACACAATATTTTATGTGCGTGCGTTTTTTCTTTATAGCCTGCTTA